AAATACCACCTCTGACTGGAGATTTTACAGTATCCTTCCCCTGCCACGCTCACCAAGCCATGACCATAGAAACGGTAGTAAGAAAATTAGAATCCCACCACTGATCTAGACGAACCTTCTGTCCATTGCAGGAGATGCCATATTGTTCTGGACAAATGGCTGTCCAGTTTCCTCTTGAAAACCTCCACTAATGGAGCACTCACAGCTTCCTGAGGGAAGCTGTTCCACTGGTTAATTGCTCTCACTGTCAAGAAATTCCTCCTTAGTTCTAGGTTGGTTCTCTCCTTGAATAGTTTCCATCCGTTGCTTCTCATTCTGTCTTCAGGTGCTTTGGAGAACAATTTGTCTCTATTTTGTGAGAGGCCCTTCAAATATGGAAGAATGCTATCTTCCTTCTCTCTCTCTTTCTCTTTCTCTCTCCCTCTCCCTCTCTCTCCCTCTCTCTCCCTCTCTCCAAGATATGAGACTAGTGGGATAGAAAATAAGTTTGTTTTTGTTTTTTGTTTTTTAAAAGTAATAATTTGTATGTCCACTGGGCCAAAATGGGTATTGATCAAAGCAAGCATTGAATTTATTCCTGCTAAATCAATCAATGCTGTATTCAGGGGTGGGATTCAAAAATTTTAACAACCAGTTCTGTGGGCACAGCTTAAGTGATGGGCATGGCTTGGTGGTCATGTGACTGGGTGGGCGTGGCTTGGCGGTGATGTTATTGGCTGGGCGTGGCCAACTCAATATCACTCACATCAAGGCACGTATCTCCTCGCCTGGCCTCTCATGACTGTGGGGATGCTGCAACAGTAATAAGTGTGAAAAATGGTCATAAGTCACTTTTTTCAGTGCCATTGTAACTTTGAATGGTCACTCCACACAAGCAAAGTACCAGCAAAGGAGGAAAAAAAAACTCCAGAGAAGTTCCAGAGACAGGAAGTCTAGTCCTGCCAAGATTGTAATAAGGGTTAACGGAGAGGCAGTTTCTGTAAGCAACACCAGAATGTTTCCTTCCTGCCTTCCTTACAGGATTAGGCCAGTAATTTCTTCTAACAACTGGTTCTCCGAACTGCTTAGAATGTTAACAACTGGTCCTAGTGAATAGGTGCAAACCGGTAGAATCCCACCCTGGCTGTATTACAGTCACAGGCCAGAATTAAAAATGAAGACATTAAAACAAAACAAAGCAGAACGAGACACAATATTATATTACAGGTAGTGATGAGATCATTGATGGGGAGCAAAGTCTGCCTAATTTTTAGTTATGTCTAAGGAGACTGTGACACACTGACCTGATAGCAACAGCTGTATATAAGAGAGATAACATTTTTTTTCCTGGATATTTTACCGTATTGAATTTCTCATTAAATTAACTCACTGGAGCTAGCGTTGGCATTCACACGTTCTGCTTGTCTGAGTTTGTAACAGAATAATGTGTTGGAGGACCTCCTTTGCTTGTTTAGGCTGGGTATCCTGGCCCAACTCAGACAATCTAATTACCAGATTAAGTGTGTTGGATGAACACATGTATATCATCTTTTGAACCAGCTTAAAAAATTAAAATAGTTTTATCCTGCTAAGGTGATGGAGAAAGGAATGGAGAAGCAAGGCTGAAATTCATCAGATTTAGATGATGAAAACACCTGGAATACTGCAACCAATTTTGGTCACCATACTACAAATAAGATGCTGAGATTTTGGGAAAAGTGCAGAGAAGAGCAATTAAGATGATCAAAGGCCTGGAGACCAAACCATAGGAACAATGGCTGCAGGATTGGGTCTGGCTAGTCTAAAGAAAATAAGAATTAGGGTCGACATGATAGCAGTATTCCAGTATTTGAGGGGCTGCCACAAAGAAGAGGGGATTTAAATTATTCTCCAAAGCACCAAAGAAGGCAGGGCAAGAAACAACGGATGGAAACTGATCAAGGAGAGAAGCAACCTGAAATTAAGGAGAAACTTCATCACAGGGAGGACAATTAACCAGTGGAACAGCTTGCCACCAGAAGTTGTGGGTGCTCCATCACTGGAGGTTTTTAAGAAGAGTCTAGACTCTAGGCAGTCACTTATTTGAAATAGTATAGGTTCTCCTGCTTGAGCACAGGGCTGGACCAGAAGACCTCCAAGGTCCCTTCCAGCTCATTCATTCATTCTATTTCTGACCATGTTCCAATGATAGCTCTGGAATTCACAAGTCCACCCAAGGGTCTAATAGGTGATATGATTCTCCTCATAGACTCAGCAGCTGGGTTGACATGACATACTTCATTCTAAATCCAGGTTAATAACCGAAAATTGCTGTTTACAACCCAGAATTGCTGTTTAATACGCAATGGCCAGAAAAAAAGCAACCAGATCATGGCTCATATACCAATACCCTGCTAAGACAATATATATGGTTTACTTACCACACCATAGAAAAGAATATATGTAACTCAAGGTTGAACAGTGGAACCCTTTGGGCTCTCTGAGCTTGGTGGTTTGGTTACAGATGTTTGAGGACCCGACTAGGTTATATTGAACCAAGGAAAAAGACGCTGGCAGAGCAAGCTAACATGTATAACCAGGGAACCAATCCCTCACCAGCACTGATGATGCTGTCTAGTTGAGTCGTGAAATGTCTGCAAACAAACCACCAAGATCAGGGAGCATCAAAGATTCACTAACTCTGTTTTAAACTTGCCTAGTATAGTTTGACAATCCAGCCAAACAGTCCTCTAGCACAGTGGTTGCCAACCGGTGGGCTGGGGACCACTGGTGGTCCACAGTGAAATGTCACCCCCAAAGCACCTCCCAAAACAATTAATCCAGGCTGCACGGAAACACAAGGCTTGCGTCGCTTGCATTGCGAACAACACGAGGTAGTGAGGGGAGAATGGAAAGGGCGGAGGGAGGAGCTTGCCCCACTCGCCCCACATGCCTTATCTGGTCACTGGGCTGCTTCTTTCCACTTCTTTCTTCTTCTGCTTTTGGCTGCATGCAAGGAAAGCAGCAAAAGTCTTTCTTTCTCTCCCCTAAACTCTGCCAGAAATGAGTCTTTGGGACCCTGCAAGGCCTCCTGCTCCAAGAGGCTGCGCTGGCATGACAAGTCTCACCAAGACTCATTTCTGGTGGAGTTTGGGGGATAGAAAGAAAGCTCTGGAGTGACCAAAGGGCCAGTCTTGTGGCTACTGCAGCTCTGGAATACGGGACCGACTTTTCCACCAACGTCAGCAAGCCACCGCCAGTCAAAATTCATATTAGTGGTCCGCGGGATTTAAAATTATAAGTTTGGTGATCCCTGAGGTCCAAAAGGTTGGTGACCCCTGCTCTAATGAGCAACTTCCATACAAAACACAATTCCTTCCCATCTTGAAACTTATCATATAATTTGTAATGCTTGTTTAGACTGGAAAAATTATATGTCTGTCTCTATAGCCGGAACACAAATGATGGATTAAAAAAAAAAAGAGTATAAAATCCCTCGTGGTTTTTCTAGACCTGGGATGGATCTACTGGAAGGAAGATGGCAAAAAGGGTGAGGAAGAGATACTTTCTCTTTAAAACAGAAGCAAGGAGTATAGCCTTTTCATATTACTTACTATGGGTGACAGAGAGCAGCTGCACAGTTTTGGGAATACGCTCCTCGTACCCGGAACAAGCTGATTTCCGGCTGATCTTGGATTTAAAGAGGGTGTTGACCATGGTGGACTTGCCAAGACCACTCTGTCCTGCAAAGGAGAAAGGAGGAGGTGGTGTAAAACATTCCAAACTCGGTTAAGTAGCGGATTAAAGAACTCTTAATAGTAGTGGATTAAAGAACACTTAACTCTTAAAGAACTCTTGCATATTTAACATAGGGGCAATGATTGCTTAGGAAACCACAAAATCTATGATGTCTACAGAGATTCTCAGTCTTCAGGACATGATTTTCTCAAAGGTGCTTTCTTTTCTCCCCAAAAAAGCAACTGGACTGTCTTTGCAAGATCGAATCTGGATTGATCACCAGGACCACAGGTGTATTCTTCTGAGCTTTTGGGCTCAAAAAATTATGATGCCTGATTAGATGAAGCTTCTTGGATGAGAAACAAAACGCCTTCAAGGAAAAATCAAATGAAGTTCAGACACAAAATGTTGGCTTCTGTTAGAACGCTAGATTATGCAGTGTGTGTGTGTGTGTGTGTGTGTGTGTGTGTGTGTGTTTGTATATATACACAGAGGTGGTATTCAGCAGGTTCTGACCAGTTCTGGAGAACCGGTAGTGGAAATTTTGAGTAGTTCGGAGAACCGGCAAATCCCACCTCTGACTGGACCCACCCCCATCTCTTCTCTGCCTCCCACTGAGTCCCAGCTGATCGACTGGGTCTTCTTTGGTTGCCCTGCCCAGGAGAATGGAGCTGGAAAGCAGGTTAGTAGGGTGGGAGGGAATAGGATTTTGCAGTAACCTTCTCCTGCCATGCCCACCAAGCCACATCCATCAAGCCAAGCCAATCCCATCAAGCCACGCCCACAGAACCAGTAGTAAAAATTTTGAATCCCACTACTGTACACACACACACACACACACACACACAGAGAGAGAGAGAGAGAGAGAGAGAGAGAGAGAGAGAGAGAGAGAGAGAGAGCTGTAATTTGCTGAAATGCATGCAATTAATGGCTTCATTAATACGTAAAATGGTTTTATTCGATTGTTTTGATAGAAGATCACTTGATTGGACTTTGGTAGACCACCTAGAATATGTTCAAGAGGAAGAACTGTAGAATAAGTCAAGTCAAAATGAGAATGTCTGCTCTTGAAATGAAACAAATCCCTAGGAAGCCTGGAGCTCCTTCTCAGAATACAAAAGTTGCAATATTTCTATCCATGAATACTGATGGCCCACTGGGGTCTTCTAGACACAGAGCTGTCAGGCAGACAAGGTCCTCATCAAAGCCACTTCTCTTTCTGACTGACAGCCAACCGTTGGCAGGCTAAAACAGGAGAAGAGGGTTTCTAATAAAACACTGGGCTCCCTTCTTGCGTCTCTTAGATCTTTCTCCTCCAGGACATAGGACCTTCTCACCTCTGGCCTCAGTTGGTCAAGATGTAGTCTCTGGAGGCCTCCCAACTAGGTTTGGATAGGAGAGAGAGCATATTATCTTGCAAAAGCAAAGGGATGAAGGAAAACCTTTGAGAAAACAATGTTTGGGCCGCACAGCTAGAACATCGTAGGATGGGTACCAAAGGCGAGGAGAGGAAACAACCAAAAATAAATGAAAATCTCAAACACTCTTACGTGTTGACATTTGCTTGTGTATATGGATAGTTGCACATATAGTTCTGATTCATTAAAGGGATGGGCTATCTAAGATCCTTGGCTGACATGTATTTCACCTATATCTATCTATCTATCTATCTATCTATCATCTATCTATCTATCTATCTATCTATCTATCTATCTATCTATCTATCTCTAGATCTATCCATCATATCTAAAGGTCTGTCTGTCTGTTTGTCTACCTACCTTACTACCTACGTACCTATCTACTTATTATCTAATCTGCCTGGATCTGTCTATATAGCTAATGTATTTATCTATCATCTCCCTCTCTCTCCCTCTCTCCTTATCTCTTTCTCTCTATTCATCCATCCATCCATCTTTGCATCCATCCATCTACCTACCTACCTACCTACCTACCTACCTATCGATCACCTACAAATCTACCCTACCCTACCCTACCCTACACTACATTACACTATACTATACCCATCAACCAGCACCTTGAATTGCACCTAGAAACACACTAGCAACCAATACAGCTCACAAAGCAGTGGTGTTACATATGTCAAGTACCCAACACATTATTACACATCTATTATTAACATGTGTTATTCCTTGGGAACAAAATCTCTATGCACTAGACTAAGCACATGGTCAGAACCTGATCTCCATTGGTCAACCTGAGGTGGGACACTGAACTTCAGAGAGAACTTCAGAGAGAATCTCTCACTCATCCCAAATTATTCATTTTATCTCTCATTGGGTGAGTGTACTGCCTGCATTTATTTGGGGGGGCTGAAGATGGGAAATACAGCTGCTGCCCAAAGCTGTCATTATCTAGGACCCATAAGAAGGAAGAGTCTTCTAAAACCAACTCTAACCCCAAACCCTTCAGAGCTTCATTCTGTTTCTTGCTTGTTTATCTCACATCTCTCCAAATTGATGTTATTCTGGTTTGCAGGGGCTTTTTTCCTTGCTATCCAAAGCATTTCTGGTCTTTACCCTCCCTCTCTCCTCAAACACACGCATACACACACACAAACACCCCTTTCAAGTTTGACAAAGTCAACCCCTCTCGGCATGGGAGGGAGAGAAGAGATTCCCAGGCGTGATCAGAAACAGATGTGTGCAGCCAGATGTTCAAGGGTCAAAGGAGCCACAGCTGGGATGTCTTCCTGTCCTTTCCACTCCTGGTTTGTAATTGGTCAATGCAGTACCCCAAGAAGGGGGCTCGGGCAAGCCACTGGAACATCCGCCCCACTGGTGGAGCAAAACTGGGGCAGGAAAGCAGGAAAATAGAGGGGAAAGGACACACAGGGTCTTGAAAAAGAGTAATCTTGGGTTGGAAGAAGGTACAATCCAGCATTTAGCTGAAGGGAGGAGGATTAGATTTTCTCCTCTGATAACTGAGATAATCAGAAAGCGGTGGCTAGCTTTTTAAACTGTGGAGTGTGCAGCAATGGGAAGTGGAGGGTAGTGTGTTTTCTTAGGGAGGAAGGAAAGTCGTCTCAAATTCAGGGTCAACTTCTTTTCAAGTGCATATGGTTTTACATTTTTCTGGAGAAGCTTCAGGCAACCAGCAAAGATGGAACATCTGGAGCAGCATTTCTCAATGCTGGCAAGTCTTTAGATATGTGCACTTCAACTCAGAATTCTCCAGAATAATATGAAGTTGGAAGGGACCTTGGAGGTCTTCTAGTCCAACCCCCTGCTTAAGCAGAAGGCCCTATAACATTCAGGACAAATCGCTGTCCAGTCTCTTCTTAAAAACCTCCAGTGGTGGAGCACCTACAACTTCTGGAGGCAGGCTGTTCCCCTGGTTAATTGTCCTCACTATTAGGAAATTTCTCTTTAGTTCTCCTCCTTGTTTCCATCCCTTGTTTCTTGGCCGCTCTTAAGATAGGTGGACATCAACTCAGAATTCTTCAGCTAGCAGGTTGACTGGGAAATTCTGGAACTGAAGCCTACACCTTTTAAAGTTGCCGAGGTTGAAAAACACTGTACCCAAGGCCAATGGTCAAAGAGGATATGAAGGGAAGCAGAAGTTGAGGTGGTGGCCTCATGAAATCCTGAAAGTTTTGGTTTCTGACCGGCCGTGCTTTGCTCTTGAGCTTCTGCTGGAAGCAAAGTCCTGAAACCCGGATTAAGTTTCTGGAGAGGGGAGATAGATTGCTGCATCCGGCACCAAACTTCAAAGCAACCGTGTCAGGCTTCCAAGAAATATGGTTTCCTAAGCTCCTTTTCTGGAAGACTTTGCTCAGACTTAGTAAACTTCCAGATTCGGCACAATTATGGATGCATTATTGAGAACTAGAATACATGACAACATAGAAGCTCCCTGTTCTCTTTGAGGGCAAGTTCAAACAGCCCACAGGCTGTCCTTGTTTAGCAACTGCCTTGTTTAGTGACCATTCAGTTACCACAGTGAAGTGTTTTGAGTTTTGATCACATGGCCATGGGGATGCTGCAAAGGTCACAAGTGTGAAAAAGAGTCGTAAGTCACTTTTTTCCAGTGCGGTAACTACAAACATCACTGAACGGATTGTTGTAAGTCAAGGAGTACCTGTATTTTGCTCTACTTTTGTTTAGCTCTTTAAAACAATTCCCCTTAATCCTTCCTCTTGGAAGGATGTCTGAGGCCCTCAATGAAATCAGCCTTCTTACTCGAAGTTGCTTTCTGGCATTTCTGAGCTGGCTCGCGGCTTTTGATCTGGGAATATTTATTGCCAAGCGCAGGGGAGAGTCAAGACTTCAGAAGAGAATTCTGCGCCAAGGTTTGAACTGCATTGGGGAGGGAACGAGGGCAAGGAGAAAATGTTTGGGGAGGGGAGAGGGTGGGAAAGGGCAGGAGGGTTGCTAGGCAGGAGATGGTTCCCAGAAAGAGTCATGTGTACAGCGTGCAAAGTTTTTGGAAAGCAGGTAGTCCTTGCCGAAAAGCAACCCACGGACTGGGAATAGTGCAACGGAAATGCACAGCACCGCCAAAGCAAAAGGAATGATCTAAAGACGTCGGCTTTCCCAGGTAATTCAGACAGGAAACACCAACACTGTTTTATTGCAGGTTACGGTAACACAACCTTGCAACTTTCAAAGGGCTCTACAAATCTTCCAGGGTCTCCTTAACCACCTGAGAAGCTAGGGAGGGTTCCTCAGCCTATCTCTCAAGGGCTTTTTCACACACTGTTACAAAAGGCCAAGCAATGAAAAAGTAAGCAAGTCATTCTCAGGAACTGGGAATGATACAAAAGAAAAACACAGCAGCCCCAAGCAAGAACCGACACCCAAAGATCAACCAGACAGGAAACATGACCAGATACACTAACACTCTTTAGTGTTAAGGCTACATTAACAGAACCTTGCAATTTTGAAGGGCAGGGGTGTGGGGGATGGGGGAGCAGTTGAAGACCCTGAGCTTGTCAGGTGGAAAGCTGACAGCCCCGGTTTGAGACCCGAGTGCTGCATGATGGGGTGAGTTCCTTGCCCCAGCTCCTGTCCACCTAGCAGTTCGAAAGCTTGCAAATGCAAACAGATAAATAGGTACCACTTCAGTGGGAAGGTAACAGCGTTCTTTGCACCTTTGGCATATAGCCACGCTGGCCTCATGACCACAGAAAATATCTTCGGACAATGCTGGCTGAAACGGAGATAAGCACTGTGCCCTAAAGTGCAACTGGACAGGGAAATCTTTACCTTCACTGAAACCTTGAAAATATTGTATAAATCCTCCAGTGTAGTGGTGGGATTCAAAAAATTTTACTACCAGTTTTGTGGGTGTGGCTGGGTGAGCGTGGCATGGCTTGGTGGGCGTGGCAGGGAAAGGATACTGCAAAATCCCCATTCCCTCCCCACCCAACTAACCTGCTTTCCAGCTCCATTCTCCTGTGCAGGGCAACCCAAGGAGACCCAGTCGATCAGCTGGGACTCAATGGGAGGCAGAGAAGAGATGGGGTTGGCGGGGCCAGTCAGAGGTGGGATTGGCCGGTTCTTCGAACTACTCAAAATTTCTGCTACCAGTTCTAGAGAACCGGTCAGAACCAGCTGAATCCCACCTCTGATCTAGTGTCTCTTTAACAGGCTAACTAGAGCGGGCTCCTTTCTGAGTCTCCTTCAATCACAATAGAGCTTTGGTGGTCTTCTAATCCAGCCCCTTCAGCAGGAGACCCTATACATTTCATATCCAGTCTCTTCTTAAAAGTCTCCAGTGATGGAGCAGCCGCAACTTCTGAAGGCAAGCTCTTCCACTGGTTAATTGTCCTCGCTTTTAGGAGGTTTCTCCTTAATTCCAGGTTGTTCCTGTCCTTGGTTAGTTTCCATCCATTATTTCTTGCCTTGTCTTCTGGTGCTTTGCAAAATAAGTTGACTCCCCTCTTCTTTGTAGCTCCACAAAGCTTTCTCCCCTTCCATTATGCAGCTCAGGTCTATGTCCTCTCTTATCTGACTATTCTCTAGGCAACATTTCCCCATCCTGTCTCTCTCAAGGTCAATAAAATAAATAAACACTTGTGCCCCATTTCGAGCCATCAATGACCCCTCTTGCTGAGCTGGAGGTCTCTCAGCAGTTTTTCCTGCTGAGTTGGCCCTTCTTGGCAGTGAAATCTTCAGCTAACTCTGGACGTGATAGTCCCAAGCGAGCTGTGTTTTGAAAAGTGGGAAAAGCTGGCCACCCGAGGGGGAAGGACCTTGAGTGGAGGCCATCATGTCTAATCTACCCCAAAGCAAACAGGAAACTAGGAAACATAATTCAAGGCAGATGTTCTCCCGTGCAGGGAGAAATGATAGCTCAAAATTAACTTCTCTCATGAGAAGGGGCTGTTGCTTGGCTGAAAACCTTCAAGTCATACTTTCTGTTCTCCAGACAGATGGGGAAATGCGGGGAGGGCCCAGCCTGGGAGAATCAGCCTGGGGGAGAAGCCATTTGATCCACCATAACTGAGCAACTTCCCAGTTCTTGCAGCTATACTTTTCTGAACTATTTCTTTGTTTTAGGCTGCTTAGGGTTGCACAGATCCCTGATCGAGGGCGACAGGAGGGGAGGGGAGAAAAGAGGGACAACCTTTCCAGCTTTTGAGGGAGGGGGGCAGGGGTGGGCTTCAAAAATTTCAACCTCAACTAGCCCTCAACTGGTTCTCTGCCCGGTTGCTGGGTGGGTGTGGCCATCGTGGGCAGGGCCTAGTCGGCCTCCTGCACCGCGGACGTTTTTGCCCTCCCCGGACTCCGGAGGCTTTCTGGAAACTGGAAATGGAAACCGGAAACCATTTCCAGCCTTTCCGAACTTTTGGGAGGCCCATATTTCGCCCTCCCTGAGGCTCCGCACACACCCTGCACTTACCTGCATCCAAAACAGGTCATGTGGGGATTCCTGGGAGGGGAAGGAGCAGGGTGAGCAAAGCCAGCCAGGAGGGGGATTTGGGGGTTCTCCAAACTGCACAGAATCTTAGCTAGGGGCTCTCCCGAACCCCTGCGAACCCCCAGCAGCCCATCCCTGGAGGGGGTGGGGTTATTTGGGGTGTGTGAAGGCACTGTAGAAGTGCTCGTGTTTTCCTAAAACAAACCTACGTGTGAGGAGAAGGATTCCCTCTGCTGAAAAAAAAGGCAGGCAAGCGGCTGCCAAATATTGGCTATGCACATGTGGGGCTTCTGGAAGAATGTAAAATCTGGGTGTGGGAACCAGATGCACAAGCTGAAGGCCGTACGGTCTATGTCCCTCCCCAATGTCGGTTGTTTTCCTTTCTGCTTTTTATCAGTTGGCTCATGATCTACTTCTTGATGAGTATCTCGAGTTTGTGTGTGTGTGTGTGTGTGTGTGTGTGTGTGTGTGTGTGTCGAAATCCTCTTACTCTGAACCCTCCTATAAATATTTATAAGGCCCTTCAGTTTTTTAAACAAAAGGCCTGAAACCCCCTCAATGTACAGAGGGGAATGACGCTTGGCTCATCCAGGGCCATCCGTGGTCGATGAGATCACTGTCTTGAGGCTGAATTAATCCCAGACTGGCTTTGGATGGAGCTGAACAAGCTTCGTTCTTATGACATTTTCCACAAAGGGAAGGCTAGGTAAGGTAAAGGTTCTCCTTGCACATCCATGCTAGTCGTTTCCGGCTCTAGGGGGCGGTGCTCATCTCCATTACAAAGCCGAAGAATCAGCGCTGTCCGAAGACGTCTCCGTGGTCATGTGACCGGCAGGACTAAACGCCGAAGGCACACGGAACGCTGTTCCCTTCCCACCAAAGTGGTCCCTATTTTTCTACTTGCATTTTTTAAACGTGCTTTCGAATTGCTAGGTTGGCAGAAGCTGGGACAAGTGACGGGAGCTCCCTCCGTTAAACGCGGCACTAGGGGTTCGAACTGCTGAACTGTCGACCTTCCTGATCGACAAGCTCAGCGTCTTAGCCACTGAGCCACTGCATCCTTTCAAAGGGAAGGCTAAGAAGGACCCATTTTTTTCCCCAATAGGAGAAATGTTCTGCTGGACCAGATGGAAGGCTTATCTAGTTTGGCTTTCTGTTCCCACAGTGGCTGTTAGATATTTTATTGATTTATTTGTAGGGTGCTCTTTGAGCTTGTTGGCTTTCCTGCAGACATTTCATGACCACACTAGGTAACATCATCGGCTCTAGAAGGGAACGAGGTTTGCTCTCTCTTATTATCTTTTCCAGCACTGATGTTATCATACCTAGGTTGGTAATAAAACATCTGCAAGAACATAACCAGATGTGGTATTCAGCAGGTTCTGACCAGTTCTGGAGAACCTGTAATGGAAATTTTGAGTAGTTCGGAGAACCGGAAGATCCCACCTCTGACTGGTCCTGCCCTCATCTATTCTCTGCCTCCCACTGAGTCCCAACTGATCGGCTGGGTCTTCTTTTGTTGCCCTGCACAGGAGAACGGAGCTGGAAAGCAGGTTAGTGGGGTGGGGAGGGAATGGGGATTTTGCAGTATCCTTCCCCTGCCACGCCCACAAAGCCACGCCCATCAAGCCATGCCCACAGAACTGGTAGTAAAAAAAATTTTTAACCCCACCACTGAACATAACCAAGCTCCGAGAGCAACAAGGGTCCTTACCTTCCCCTACCAGCAAATGAATTAAAATGGGACAGGATCCAATCTGGGTCAATCTTGGGGAGCAGAGGTTTTGCCTTCCGAGTTTTCAGAGTCGTGCCAGAGCCCATCTTCAGGGAACTTTTCTCAAGTCGTGTATGTTATTTATTTACGCACTGTGTGTGTGATATTTACATGGAAGAAGCACATGCTCTGCTCGAGAGTAGTGTCCTGAAGATGAAGCTCTGGCACGAGTCCGAAAGCTTGGAAGAGTAAACACTGAAGAAGCTTCTCGGATGAGAAGGGAAACGACTTCAAGGAAAAACAATGTCCAGTTGCCTTTTGAACAAGCACCTTTGGGGAAAAAAACTGATACCAACTACTGATCTGAATTCTGATGGCCAGAATTGGATGTTCAGCCTTTCATGGAGCATTTAGAAAAATGCTCATTACAAAACCATGCCCAGATGCAGTCTCTGCAGGTATGAAAGCTCCTGACTATATATATATATATATATATATATATATATATATATATATAAAATTGTGCTCACCTACAACCATGATGTTGAACTCAAATCCGGTTTTCATGGTCTTGATACGCATCTGGTCCAGGACGGCCTCAATCCCCACGTAGCCGAATAATCCACCGTCCGTGGTCTTGAGGGCTGGACCATCCTGGGGAGTTGGTTCTCCTGCTAGATTGTCCTCCATGCTCAGCTGCTGAAGCTTGGGATGAATCTCTGCAAAGAGGAAGATAAAATGTAAATTATCGGCAACCGGTTTCCTCCTCCTTTTCTTGAAGCTTCGTTGCACTTCTGTATATTAAGTCTGGAGCAAGAACGAAAGCGAAAGATTTTTTTAAAAAAGGAATTTTCTCCCTGGAAGCAGAAATGCAGCCTTGAAAGAGACACAACATCTGTCTAAAGTTGGGTGCTGCAAGAGACGGTGGGGAAGCTTAGGACAGGAATGGAAGAGAAGAGACCTAAACAGTCCAGAAACAGAAGGGGAACCCCACTGGCAGCTTATCTCATAAACAGCAACTCAACTCAGTAGAACAATAGAGTTGGAAGGGACCTTGGAGGTCTTCTAGTCCAACCCCCTGCCTAGGCAGGAAACCCTACACCACTTCAGACAAATCGTTATCCAACATCTTTTTAAGAACATCCAATGTTGGAGAATTCACCACTTCTGGAGGCAAGTTGTTCCACTGATTAATTGTTCTCACCATTAGGAAATTTCTCCTTAGTTCTAGGTTGCTTCTTTCATTTAACATTTCCCATCCATTATTTCTTTGTCCTGCCCTCTGGTGCTTTGGAAAATAAGCCGACGCCCCTCTTCTTTGCGGCAGCCCCTCAAATATTGGAACACGGCTATCATATGTCGCTCCCTAGTCCTTCTTTTCACTGGACAAACCCATTTCCTGCTACCGTTTTTCGTATGCTTTAGCTTCCAGACCCCTAGTCGTCTTGGTTGCTTTTTTCAGCACTCTTTCCAGAGCTTAACTATCTGAAGCATCTTTCTCGACATGAACAGAGTCCCCATTGTGCTGGTTTCCTATGCTGCATGGATCCACGTTATGTTATGTTTGTCTTAGACGGACGTTAGGCCAGGGGAGAAAAAAAAGAGAAAAGCGAACGTGAATTCAAATGCATAGCAACATCTCTGGCAAAGGTCAGACTTACTACTAGATTACAATAACACTTCCTAGTACCTATCTCTTCCCACTTATGACTATGACCGTGTTGCTTGTATCTTTACAATTTATATTGTTTCGTTTCCTAGTATCATTTGATTCAGTGGTGGGATTCAATTTTTTTTACTGCTGGTTCTGTGGGTGTGGCTTGATGGGCGTGGCTTGATGGGCGTGGCAGGGAAAGGATACTACAAAATCCCATTCCCTCCCCACCCCACTAACCTGCTTTCCAGCTCCCTTCTTCTGTGCAGGGCAACAAAAGGAGACCCAGCTGATCAGCTGGGACTTGGGAGGCAGAGAATAGATGGGGGCGGGGCCAGTCAGAGGTGCTATTTGCCGGTTCTCTGAACGACTCAAAATTTATGCTATCAGTTCTGGTCAGAATCTGCTGAATACCACCTCTGATTTGATTGCTTATTAGTGACCTATGACCAGGGGTGGGATTCTACCGGTTCGCACCTATTCGCTAGAACTGGTTGTTAACATTCTAAGCAGTTTGGAGAACCGGTTGTTAGAAGAAATTACTGGCCTAATCCTGTAAGGAAGGCAGGAAGGAAACATTCTGGTGTTGCTTACAGAAATTGCCTCTCCGTTAACCCTTATTACATTCTTGGCAGGACTAGACTTCCTGTCTCAGGAACTTCTCTGGAGTTTTTTCCCCTCCTTTGCTGGTACTTTTCTTGTGTGGAGTGACCATTCAAAGTTACAATGGCACTGAAAAAAGTGACTTATAACCATTTTTCACATTTACGACTGTTGCAGCATCCCCATAGTCATGAGAGGCCAGGCGAGGAGATGCGTGCCTCGATGTGAGTGATATTGAGTTGGGCACACCCAGCCAATAACATGACCACCAAGCCATGTCCACCCAGTCACATGACCACCAAGCCACACCCACCACCAAGCCACACCCACCACCTAAGCCATGCCCACAGAACCGGTTGTTAAACATTTGAATCCCACCCCTGCCTATTATCAGTAAGTGTTGTATCTTATGATTCTTGATGAACGTATTTTTAATGTACATTGAGAGCATGTGCACCAAAGACAAATTCCTTGTGTGTCCAATCACACTTGGCCAATAAAGAATTCCATTCTATTCTATTAAAGAGAAGCTCAACCAAAGAGGCTGGAGAGATGCCTCCATTAGGGAAGAGAAGGGGTTGGCACCCTGCCCAGGAGCTGGGAAGCTTTGCAGAGGCACTGCGGTGGGAAAGGGGTTAGCTTCTTCCCCCATCTCCCCAAATAAAGAGAGGGGAAAAGTCTCTTCTTAACTGGGCTGGTAATGATGGGGATTGTTCAAAAGTCTGGGAAGCTGGACATGGCTACATTTAGAAGATCTGGCACTTTAGAGGGGAGCCTGTGCTTAATTTCAAAGCTGAAAATATTTTCAACCAATGAGGTTAACAGATCTCTTCACTATTCTTGTTTTTTTTTCTTTTTCAAATTCCCAGACTAAAGAGAAGGTCATGCATTTTTCTAGATGGTCTTCCAGATCTGATCTTCTTTGTCCAGGCTGCCTAGGTGCTACTGCAAATACCAACTCACAGGCCAGCCAAGGAGTTAAATACGATGGTCTTGACTTGTGTAGTGAGTGGTATGGGGTACCACTCTTCTAATTGCAATAGTTTTCCAAGATTACAAGGCCCTGGATGGACCAACTCAGTTTTTTTTTAAACATGTAAATTTAAGGTAAGGTAAGGTAAGGTAAGGTAAGGTAAGAAGAAGAAGAGGAGGAGGAAGAGGAAGAGGATGAGGAGGAGGAGGAGGAGAAAAAGAAAAAGAAAAAGAGAAGAAAAAAGAAAAAGAGAAAGAAAGAAAGAGAGAGAGGAGGAAGAGAAAAAGGTGAAGGTGAAGGTGAAGGTGAAGGAGAAGGAGAAGAAGAAGAGGAGAAGGAGGAGGAGGAGGACGACGACGACGACGATGACGAGGAGGAGGAGAAAAGAAGAACAAGAAAAAGAAGAAAAAAGAAAAAGAGAGAGAGAAAGAGAAAGAGGAGGATAAAAAGAAGAGAAAGAAGAGAAAAAGAAAAAGAGAAAGAGAGAGGAAGAAGGAGGAGGAGGAGAAGAAGAGGAGGAGGAGGAGAAAAAGAAAAAGAAGAGAAAAAGAAAAAGAGAGAGGAGGAAGAGAAAAAAGTGAAGGAGGAGGAGGAAAAGGAAAAGGAAAAGAAGAAAAAAGAGAGAGAAAGAGAAAGAGGA